CAGGACAGAGGCCCGGCCAGCGGGGACGGAGCTGCGGATGGCTCGCTCTGGGGGTTCCTGGAGTGGTTCTGGCCACAGTTGGCCGTGGGCAGCTGAGACTGGAAACCCAAGCCGTGGGCCAGGAGGGGCAGTGGCTCCTGCAGGGCCTCCGTCCCCAAGGTGGCCGCACGCGGTGCTCCATCCCGCCCACCGTGCTGACACCTGCTGGGTGCCTGGCCCTGTGCCTTCCAGGAAGCCTCTGGTTTGGCCCCCGGGGTCCACCCCGGAACGGACAGCAGAGATGAGGTCACTGTGCGAGACCAGGGAGGCCAGCGCGGCCTGGCTGCAGCGGGATGGGGATGGCCCAGCTGGTGAGCTTGGGCGCGGGGGGCCGGCGGGACGGGCCCCTGGCCTGCTGTGCCCATCTTCCTCAGCCCCTGGTCAGCAGTGCAGAGGGCCCCTGCGGTGCGCTGGCCGCGCCGTGTCCCGGCCGCTGCCTTGGTGCTCGGTCGTGCTGGCGCATGTCCACCCAGGACCGCTGCTGGCTTGGAGCACAGTGGCTCCAGCGTAGCTTCTCGGTGACAGAATCGTGGGGGGCCTGGTCTGGGCCCCGCATTTTCTTTCTGCAGCTCCGGGTGAAACTTCAATGGGGACGGGGGTCCTGGCTGTGGGTGGAGGCCAGGGACACTGCTCAGCCCCAAAGCAACCGGCCGCCCCTGGACCATGACCCGCCAGGCCCACAGGCCCCTCTACCCCCCAGGGCCCCCGGGGCTGCATGCTGCTGGCCCTGACCCCCGCCCCGCGAGCTTGGGCCTGGGGACTGCTGCTCTAGGTGGTCAGGGCCCTGGGCGGGCACCTGGCCTTTCCGTGGAGGCCTGAGGGGTGCAGCTCCCCACCCTTTGCCCCAAGGCCAGCCTCGGGCAGCAGCGCTGGTCAGAGCTTTATTTTAGAGAGCGGCCCTGGGTCGAGGGAGCCTGAGCCCTCTGTCGGGCAGGCGGAGGCCACAGTCAGGAGCCTGCGCCCCTGCTGACCCCTGGCCTGGCCCCGTGGGCCCTGCTCCACCCTTCCCACCGGCCCTGAGGCCCTGTCCACTGCTGGGGCCTTCAGAGGCTCCACCAGGCCCGGGCAGGCCTGGCCAGCTGGCTGCCCGGTCATCACGTGCCTGGGCCGGGCAGCTGGTGAGGAACGCGCTGCTGACTCAGGCTGCACGTGCCCATCCCTGGGGGCATGGCTGTCCTGAGTCAGGGGTGGCCGGTGACACCAGCCGCAGCGGGCAGTCAGGAGGGGCGGCGTGCCTGGCCCCGATGCAGGCGTCTGAGTCACACCTCAGGTGCGTGGTGCAGGGACACAGACGTCCATGTGTGTGCACACGAGCGCGCTGACCCGCTCTGACCGCGTACAGACCTGCCACGCACACACACAGATGCTGTGCACACGGCACTCGTGCCACGCGCCCACGTCACGCCCATAAGCGCACACACACAGGTGCAGATGCCTGGGGCCACGTGCACACTCGCCCCCGCACACACAGGGTGCCGCCTGCTGGAGTGCTGGCCAGTCCAGAGGGGCCTCGGGAGCCACAGCCGCAGGCCCGGCTCAGGGGGGCGTCAGGCAGCAGCAGGCCCCCACCAGAGCCCCAGGCCAGGGAGGCCGCACTGCCCCAGGGTCACACGTCCCCCTGACAGCACAGCCTTGGAGGGAGGCCTGTCGCCCCCGGGCAGCCGCTGGGCAGAGCCACCAGGGGCGTCCAGCAGAGCCGGGGGCGGCCTGTGCCTCCTGGGAGTGTGTGGTGGTGTCACCAGGTGTGGCCGTGCGTGTCCTGGGCACCGCAAGCGCACGTCCCCCTTCCGAGCTCCCCCAGGGCCCTTCTCCCTCCTTCAGCAGCTGCCTGGCCGTGCCCTGGCCCTGGCCACCTGCCGAGGCTCTGCAGGGGCAGGGGCACAGACGTCCGCGTGTGTGTGTGTGTGTGTGCGTGTGTGTGTGTGTGCGCGCTCACGGGAGTGGCCACTGTGCACACACACTCATGCACACACACACACACACACACACACACAGGAAGTGCAGGGCGGGCTCTCCCTCCCCCACCCCCCACCCAGAGTCTCTGTGGGTGGGAATTTCTGGGAACCTGGAGGTGCCTTCACTTGGGAACAGCCTCCTGGCCTCGCTCAGCCCCCTGGCCAGTGTCTGCCCAGGGGAACTGGGCAGGAGGGAGCTGGCCTCGATGCCCAGCACCCAGGGGCGCCCACCCCCGGGCCCTGTGGTGCCCGTCCCCACCGACAGCAGGGACATCTGGGGGGTCCTGAGCAGCATCTCAGCCCCAGCGACTGCAGGCAGGACACCGCAGAGACACCACGCTGTCCCCAGGTGTGGCCCGTGGTCCTGGGACAGTGTCACCCTGCTGAGACCCTGGGTCAGCGCTTACCAAACAACAATTGGATGGAAAAGTGGGATTTTTGCTGCCTAAATAAGCAGGCGACGGGCGTTCCCAGATCAGAGATTGAGCCGGTGTCCCCGCAGCTGGGGGACCACCAAAGGGCACGACCAGCCACCCCAGAAGACACTTGGGCAGTTTCTTAAAAAAGACACCCACACATTCACCGCGTGGCCCAGAGATTGCACTCCTCGGCGTCTGTCCCAGAGGCGCAGAGGTGTTTGTGGGCACCACACAGATGTCACACAGCTTTACTCAGGACGGGCAAGAGGCAGACCCAGGGCTGGGGGTGGCCTCAGCACCCAGGGGTCTCATCCCAGCCCAGAGGTCCTCTGCAGGGGGTGCTGGCCCTGGTCTGCTGTGCAGTGGAGTACTACTCAGCACTGTAAATGAGCAGCCTGGGGGCGCCAGTCCCCAAAGGCCACACTCCAGATGTTCCTTCCCCTTACTCAGTGTCCTGAGATGGCGGAAGTGTGGGAAAGGAGAAAGTAGCGTTTTCCAGTTGGGGACGCAGCTGGGCTGGGAGGGTGAGGGTAAAGGCCATCCTGGGAGGACCGTCCTACAGGGCAAAGGATCTGTGCTGTGTCCAGGCCACCCTCAGGGAATGTGGGTGGGGACCCACTGGTCTCTGCAAGGGAACAGAGACCGGCTCTGGAATCACTTAAAATTGCACATAAAACCCGATGAGTGCAAAATTACCAATGTGATTTGAAAATGAGGTCTTGGGCGCAGTGGCCACACCTGGAATCCCAGCGGCTGGGGAGGCTGAGGCAGGAGCATGGCAAGTTCAAGGCCAGCCTCAGCAACTCAGCAAGCCCCTGTCTCAGAATGGAAGAGAACCGGGTGAGCTTGGGGTGCTCAGTGGTGGGGCTGGCCTGCCTCCCTGAGCACCTGGGTTGGATTCCCAGCTCCACGAGATGACAATAAAGACACAGGCTGCTGTGCGGCTCGGTGGTTAGGCAGCCCCGGGCTCCAGCCCTGGCTCCAAAAGCATAAAAAATAGTGAAGATAAATAAATAAGCCAATAAATAAAATGGATCCATCCAGGGCAGCCTGGGCACAGCGAGACTCACAGATGACACCAAGGCTGGGTGCCGCTCAGGGGCGAGCTTGCCTGGCTGCGTGAGGACCCATCCCCGGCGCCTCTGAAGAAGGAAGAGAGAGGACAGAAGTGGGGGGGGGACTGGCCGCCCAGGGCCTCACCAGCAGAGCCCTGTGACAGCAAAGGACTGACCTCAGCAGGCAGAGAAGCCCTG